TTAGTACAATCTCCCTAGGGCTAGGTGATGGTTAATCTCCATTGTTGATTCGATTTGTGATAACCCCAGAGACACACCCCTGACTATTTCCAGAAAGATTTAACTAAGAAGGTAAGACACATCCTAAATGTGGACAGCACCGTCAGTTAGACCGAGTGCCAGGCGGAATAACAAAAGGAAAAGAGAGAAAGACACTTCTCTCTGTATTCACATGTCTCTAATTCAGGAGCCAAAACACACCTTTCCTTCCTGAAGTTGCTTTTGTCAGTCATTTTGTCACAAAAGTCATGATAAAATAGAAATAATAAAAATCACAACAAAATTTATTTCTATGTAAGAAATTCAAATTTCGGCTCTAAGATACGTCACAGAAGTGTATCTTCCATCTTAATGTATTTACTGTTTACAAAAGGGTGATAATGTTTTCTCTTTGGTTCTGTAGCTTTATGGACTCCTTTTTGATCTCTAAGTGTTGTTTATGAATCCAATTTTCATAACATTTTCAGCATTTAATTCAAATTTCTATAAAATTCTTCAAAAAAGTGTAACATTGATCCCTGAGTCTTTGGAGAAGGAAGTGTGCTTCAGATGTCTGATTTAAAGATGTAAGAAAGCCTGGAAGACTAAGAAGCAGTGGTTGACTTCAAAACTCCTGGTATTTTCTGTACATAAAAGGGCAGGTGGACATATAATCTCACAGCAACTGTGACAATGTGTTTAAGATAAAGCCAGAAAAGTGCTTGCATGGAGAGTGGAAATAGGATCAGAGTTCCATCCCCAACTGAGGAGCTAACAGCAGAGAAAAAAAGAGTTTTCTTTAAGGATATGAACCCTGAGGTCTACTATACCTCAGTGGAAGGCCACACACTTCATATACGGGAAGCAGGGATTAGACCTGAATTTGGGCTAGGAAAGGACATAAATATGTTTGGGAAGTTGCATTTAAGAAGAGTAGGAGGAGGTGGAGTGAATACAATCAAAGTACACTGTATAGAATTTAAAAAAAAAAAAAAACAAGAAAAATGCCACAAAGAATATACCATTTGTATGAATATGTTGTTCTTCCAGAAGCTTTTACTCTATTTCATACATTAATTGTTACATGCAGTCTTTATCTTATAGTATATGTCTAATATCCACTTATAACTGAGGAACGACCATGTGTGTCTTCCTGCTTCTGGGTTACCTCACACGGGATGGTCTTTACTAGTACCATCCATCCAATTGCCTGCAGATTTCATGATGTCCTTGTTTTTAGTTGCTGAGTAGTATTCTGTTGTTTAAATGTACCACAATTTCTGTATCCATTTCTTCGTTGAGGGACATCTAGGTTGTTTCCAGATTCTGGTTATTAAGAGTAACGCATCACTTCTTCTTCAGGAGAACACCAAATGGTGGATGACATTTTTGCAGTGGGAGGGCCCAGAGGGCTGGGGCCTAGGATTAAGAGGCCCCTGAAGCTTAGGAGGAGGATTAGGCAGCAGTCTTTAGGGGCCAAGGTTGTGGCTGGGGAGGGGCGCACATGGGCAAGGCAGAGGTGCAGGGTTCCTGGAAGTAAAGCCCTAGACAAGCAGTGGATCCCTGTCACCAAGCTGGGCCACCTAGTTAGGACATGAAGATAAAGTCCTTGGAGGAGATCTACCTGTTCTTCCTGCCCATTAAGGGACACTTTTCTAGGTGCATCCCTAAAGGATGAGGTTCTAAAAATCATTGCAGTGCAGAAGCAGACATGGCTGGCCAGCAGTCTAGGTCAAGGCTTTTGTCGCTATCAGGGACTACAGTGGTGGTGTTAAGTATTCCAAGGAGGTAGCCACTGCCATTCGAGGAACCATCAGCTTGGCCAAGCTTTCTATCGTCCCTGTGTGGAGAGGCTATTGGGTCCACAAGATTGGAAAGTCCCACACCACTTCTTGCAAGTTGACAGGCCACTGTGGCTCTGTTTTCGTGTGTCAAATCTCTGCTCCCAAAGGGACTGGCATGGACCTTGCTCCTGTGCCCAAGAAGCTACTAATGATGCCCGGTACTGATGACTGCTACACTCAGCCAGAGGCTACACTGCCACCCTGGGCAAGTTTGCCAAGGCCACCTTTGATGCCATCTCCAAGATCTACAGCTACCTGACCCCTGACCTCTGGAAAAAAACTGTGTTCACCAAATCTCCTTATCAGGAGTTCACTGATCATCTTGTGGAAACCCATATCAGAGTCTCTGTTCAGAGGACCCAGGCTCCAGCTGTGGCTACCACACAAGAGTTTTTATTCAAGAAAGATAAAGTGAATTAAATTTGTTAGAAAGAGAGAGAGAGAGAGAGAGAGAGAGAGAGAGAGAGAGAGAGAGAAATGCTGCTATGAACATGGTTGAGCAAATGTCATTGTTGTAGGTTTGAGCATACTTCATATATATGGCCAGGAGTGCTATGGCTGGATCTTAAGGTAACACTATTCCTAATTCTCTGAGAAAGAACCAGACTGATTTCCAAAGTGGTTGTACAAGTTCACATTCCCACCAGCAATGGAGGAGAGTTCCCTTCCTCCAAATCATCTGCAGCATGTGTTGTCACTTAAGTTTTTTATCTCAGCCGTTTTGATGTGTATAAGGTGAAATCTCAGGGCCATTTTGATTTGCATTTTCCTGATGACTAAGGAAGTTGAACATTTATTTAAGTGCTTTCTTGCCAATCAGTATTCATCTGTTGAGAATTTTCTGTTTAGCTCTGTACCCCATGTTTTAAATTCGATTACTTGATTTGTTGCTGTTTAACTTCTTGAGTTCTTTATGTGTTCTGGATAGTAGCCCTCTGCAGGGTGAAGATCCTTTCTCAGTCAGTAGGCTGTCGTTTTGTTCTGATGACAGTGTCCTTTGCTTTACAGAACATGTTCGGCTTCATGAGGTCCCATTTATTTATTCCTGATCTTAGAACCTGTGCAGTTGGTGTTCTGTTCAGGAAGTTGTTTCTTGTGCCATTGAGTAGCAGGAGAAGACAGGAAACAGGATAGGAGCCTACCACAGAGGGCCTCTGAAAGACTCTACCCAACAGGGTATAGAAGCAGATGCTGATGGGCAAAGTACAGGGAAGGAGTAAACAGAAATACCTGGAGGGCATGGGATCTCCACAAGGAGACCAACAGAGCCAAAATATCTGAGTGCACGCACGGGGACATTCAGGGACTGATGATTCAACCAAAGACCATGAATGGTGAGGATATAGACCTTCTGCTCAGATGTATCCTATGAGCAGCTCAGTCTCAATGGGTATTTCCTAGTATGGGGAACAGGAGAAGTCTCTGGCATGAACTTCTTGGTCACCTGCTCTTTGATCCTCTCCCTCTGGCAAGGTGGCTTTACTAGACCACAGAGAAAGAGGAGGCAGAGAGTCCTGTTGTGATGTGATAGGGTAGGGTCAGATAGTAGAGGAGGAAGCCCTCCTCTACCAGTGGACTAAAAGGGAGTAAAAAGAGGGAGGTGGGACATAGAGGAGATGAGGTAGGGGGCTAGACTTGGGATACAAAATGAATAAATTAAAATAAATAACAACAATAATAAAATTTAAAAGCAATACTTTTTTGGTTCTTTATGAACTTCACATTATGTACCACAGTCCTGCTTATCTTCCTTTCCCCTCTTACTCTCCCTCCATGCTAGCAATCTCCCTCACAAAAGAAAAAAAAAGCCTCATTGTGGAAGATGTACTGTGCCACAGTCTCCCGTGTATACTCTTTTGTCCACACTTCATTTGCTAGCAAATGTTTATTGCAATGACTCCTTGGTCTGGTAGGAGACCTCCGGCCTCTGCTACTGTCTGAGTACTGGAACCAGATATCCTGTTGTTTCCCTGTGTCATGGAGATCCTGTAGTTCTGGATCTGTAGTATCAGCTCCTTCATGCACTCAGTTAGTCAATGTGGTAGATGTTCAGATGAGCCAATTCAAAGCCCTTGCTCTGGGACTGAGTGCTATCTGAGCTGATCAGTGTACCAGGTTTCCTACTCTCATGCCCTTCTGGGTGGCTTACCAGAAACCCCTGCTCTTAAGGTCAGCTCTACCATGCTGCAGGACGTGCAGAGCCTGCTTTCCCGAGTGTTGTAGCCAGTGAGGAACACGATAAACAACTCACATGACCCTGGGGCCAGCTCTCCTGCCTGCCATACATGTCAGATTTCCTACACTCATATTCTCGGGGCTAAATCATGCACAACTCCCACAATGTGTGGGCCCACTCTCCTGAGCACTGCAGCTGGCAAGAGGCAGGGTCAGCTTTTCTCCTCTCAAGCCCCAGTGTCAGCTCTTCCATGATGTCCCAGTGAGGAGTGGGGCCATTTGCACAGCCCTTAGACTTCAACATGTCCCGTGGCAGCAGCCTAGATTAGGGATGTCAGCCTGCCCGCTGGTGGCAACCCCCAGCTGCTTCGGGGTTATAGACCCATATGTGGCCCCAGTGGCAGCACAGGCCAGCATCCCTCCATGGTCCCAGGTGGCTTCATTGACAACTCACATCAGGGTGTTCCGCACTAGCCTCCAGTCTCCATTTCTTCCTCTCTTCTTTGTGCCCACATCCCTTTGTTTCTCTTCCTCTTCCATTTCTCCTGGTGTCTCATCTCAGGTGTCTTCTCAGGAGTTCTGTGCCCCACTCATGCATTATGGCACCTCGCAGGAGTCATGTTGGGTATGGTCTGCTACCTCCTGGCCAGCATGTGCCCAACTGGTGATCCTCTCCGCTTAGTTCCCTGTCCAGGTCTCATGACGCCAGTCTGGTGGTCATCTTGGGCTTGTTCTTGCCCAACTCACTTTACTGGCCCCATGTAAGGGAATTCTGTATCAGGCTCACTGCTGCCCAGTACCCTCAATCCCAGAGAGGGTTTTTCTAGTCTCCAGCTTGTTCCTAGTCCTAGTAACCTGTCTGAGCCTGCAAACCACTGGACTGGTGGTCATCTCGGGCTAGCTCTCTCTCTGAGCTCCCTGGAGTGGACACGTGGTATGTCAGGAGCGCTCCTTTTTCCAGGAAGTGTCAAGCGACTAAAAACTCTGATGTCTGTAGGTCAGACACTGGGGGAGACACAGCCTCTCGCTTGTCTTCTACCCACTGATGCACACAACACACAGTAGCCAAACCTGCAGTGTTTGTAGGATCAGGCACTCTTTTCTTTCACTCAAAGGCAAATCCACCTACATTTCAGTTAGGGTGGAAGGTTGTTCTCTGACTGCACACATATAACTGTTAGCTATTGTATGTTGTCCTCTTCTCTGCAATTTTAATCAGCTCTACTCACCTTGTTTCTATCATAATCTTAGTTCTCTCCTCAATCCTTTGCTCTACCACTGAGGATACTCTGCTGTATAAATCCTCTAAAATTCAACACACCTCATATCTTACTCCCTTGTATGGAACCCAAATATCCTTTTTGTTGTTTCTTCTTTTCTGCTTATTTTTAAGTTGAATTTCACCAAAGAAATGTCTATTCATTTTCCAGTTTTTGCTTAGTATCTCATTATCAAACTCATTATCTCATTATCATCCAACAGTGAGCTTGAGATTTTTTTCTAAATGTTACCAGAAATTTCCATTGAAAATTCACAAACACAAAGTTTTTTCTGCTTTATAAACCAATGTAAAAGTAAAATTCAAAAATTTCAAAGAAATGTTTTAAACTGGTGCCCATTTTCTTTCTTAGATATACTACCATTGTTTTATGATATTACTTTTTTTCGCTCAATATAATTTTTACTTCTAAATTTTCATTTTTCTTTTATATTTATTTATTGTTTATGACTATGCAGGTGTGGATCAAATGAATATACATGTATCATGTGCATGCTTGATGCCTGCAAATGCCAGAAGACCAATCAATTCTCTTGGAACTTGCGTGACATATGATTGTCAGCCACCATGTGAGTCCTAGGAACTGAACTCAGGACCTCAGCAAGAGAAGCCAGTGCTCGTAATTGCTGCGCTAGCTCTTTGGCCAAAGTTTTTATTTCTTTACTTAAATATCTGTGATCATCCCTAAATATCTGAGTTTACCATTGTTTGACATTACTTCTCCATGCCGTCTAAGTTTACTCATGTATGTACACCACAGGTGTGTAGTTCCCAAGGAGGTCGGAAGAAGGTATCAAATTCCCTGAACCTAAAGGTACAAATGTTTGTAAGCCACTGTGTGGGTTCTGGGAGGTAAACATTGGCATTTTGAAAAAGCAGCAGGATGCCTAATCTCTGAGCATTGCTCTAGATCCTTCTTAAAAAAAATTCTGGGTCACTGAATTATTTATCATACTTGAAATAATTATAGTTACATATACATATGTAAAATATGCATTATATGTTTTTATCTCATTTTAATCAGAATCTTTTACCTCTTCCTAATTTTCTATCTACTGATGGTACAAGTTCATGCCATATATTTGCTATGTAACTACGCTTAATGCAATAATCTTCCTTTCACAAACTGTACAATTCTCAGACGTTTTACTTACCAAATGGATGTTTTCAGCACATAGTCAGTTTCTTTCTGCAATCAGTAGCATGTCTCCCTTGCTCAAACTCATCAACAAGTTCAACTTTTTTCCTGTGTTTATAAACTCCTATAACTACAGTACAAATCATCTATGATTATATCGTGACAGTAATCATTCAATTTTCTTTTGTTTCATACACAAACCACCTGATTGTGGATAGCGTTTTTAAAATATACATTGCATTATTCTTCGTTCAGAATTTTCTGCAGAGGAATTTTAATTCAGCAATATGGCTGCTCTGGCAAGGGATCACATCCAAAAACCTAGTTCTGTGTGATCCAGTTGTAATACAGACAAGACCTTAGTAGACATGTTTAATCCCTCTGTCTGGAATACACACCTTTAATCCTTCTGGCTGGAATACAGGCATACCTTTAGTATACACCTTTAATCCCTCTGTATGGAATACACACCTTTATTTCCTCTGGCTGGAATATAGACATGCCTGTAGTACACACTTTTCATCCAAAAAAAAAAAAAAATGCTATCCAGTTGGGAGACAAAGTGATGAATCAGAGACCCATTTGACAGAGATAAGATTCACCTAATTCTCATGAGAGAAAGAGAGAGTACTTAAGAGCAGCATGCACACACATACACACACACACACACACACACACACACACACACACACACACACGGGGGAGGGGATTTGAGGAGACAGAGCAGTAGAGTTTGGAAGTAGAGTACAATTCTGTGAAGTTCAGTGAAGTTCATTTGAATGCAGTAGAGTTTGTATATATCAGTTCATGGAGTTTAGAGGCATTTTTTCCAAGTAGAGCCATTCAATGAGAATCTGAGAGAAGCCAGTTTGAATCAGTCAGATTGAAGAGGAGTTCTGAACCAGAAGAGTTGAATTTCACCAGCCAGCCAGAGTTCAGAAACAATGAGAAATGGTGAGCCTTATATAATACTAAGTCCCAGAGGCTGAAAATGTTCTAGGTGTAGATTTAGCAAATGGAGGCTGGAAGGTGAAGTCTTCAATGTCCAGACTTGCAGAAGATTAGATGATAAGGAGACCAGAAGCTTTCAAGCCTAGGCCTAGGGATCGTTAGATAGTAATGTTCTGGGTTCAGCCCAAGCCATGTATTTGTAAAGCATGAGTATAGCTCTCGTTTCATCCCCTCTTCTGAGGAAAGATAAACAACATTCACACTTTTCCTTCCTAAATACAAAGATAAAACATGTGACACCTTTAGAAAGCTTGCACCCTCACTGGATATCAGCAGCCTATTCTCCAAAGTTCACATCAGTTACTCTATTCCATCTTTCAGTCTCTGTCCACTTGTAACAGCATCCATCTTCCTTTCACAAGATCTCCACATAGAGCTTAACATTAGCAAAATACCAGAATCAGCCTCCTTGTTGCCATACTTAGCCAGCTCAGCTGTCAAATATTCATTTAAACAAAATATTTAGAGAATATTTTACTATTCATCCTGACAAAGTGCACAATTCTCATGCTTTCTGTAACATGCTTTGTGAGACTGACGAATTAATGGAGTTATGGTTTAATGCAGTTGTTTAATGTCTGCTTTTAATTGTAGGGTCTGAGATTTTTAGGGACATAATTTTTTTTTTCTTTTTAGATATATGTCTGAATGCAAAGGATGATATCTGGGGATCGAAAGGTGGATGAGAGGTTAAAAACACTTGCTGCTCCTAAATAAGTCCAGGGCTTTGTTTCCAACACACATTCTGGCTCACCATCATCTGTAACTCCATTTCCAGGGGATATAATGCCCTCTTCTCAGCTTCATGGTGTTAGGGACACACGTGGTACATAGACATACATGCAAACAACACATGTGTACCAAAGTAAATAAACCTTAAAAACAGTATCTGGAAGACAAGAGGGATGAAATATATGTCTCTAGAAATAAAACTGAAGTAACTTGGGAAAATATATTTTCCTCACTTTTCTGCACTTCTTATAGTGAACATTTAGGTTTTCCATCACTGTTCATTTATTAAGTTTAATAAGTAAGATATCAGTTTTCTGTTGCTTGACAAAGGCTTATTGCTAACTTCAAATCTTTCTGGAATGGTATGGCTGTTTTAATTAGAATGACCCTTCATATATTTGAACACTTAATACCCTGTTGATGTAATTCTTTGGGAAGAATTAGGAGGTATGGCCTTGATGGAGGAGGTATTTGATTAAGAGTGGGCTTGGTGAGTTCAAAAAGCCCATCTCATTCCCAGTTATATATTTTTCCTTCCTGGTTGTGGATCAAGATGTAAGCACTCAGCACCATCTCCAGAGTCATGCCAGTTTGTCTGGTGCACTTCTCCCATGGTTATAGACTCATCCTCTGGAGGTGTAAACCTCCACTAACCTCTCTCTTATAGGTTACCTCATAGTGTTTTGTCACAGCACTAGAGAAGTAAATATGGTGCAAAGTGAGAGCTTTGACATAACTTACTTTCTTTATAGAGGTTAGTCAGCAAAAAATCAATTTTCTTTAGATTTGTTCACAAAAATAAGCAATAAATAAATTATAATGTGAACAGATATATAAATGCATATCATATCAATGCTGGATAGTTATATTAGTTTTAACCACATGAAATTACATGACTTAGTGGCTTAATTACTTGAAATAGTAAAGCCAATTCGTTACTTATCTCAATTTATTTATAATCAAATTATTTGCAGTCTACTTTTACTTAGAAAATAAGCCCTCACATATCAAGAGTTATTTCCGCTATTCAACACTAAACTTTCTAAGATTCCATCTACAGAGAATTCACTCTTAATGGAAGTATACCATCTGAAAATCAAGCCAAAATGACTTCTCATTTTTAGTTAAAAAAAACACTTACTCTTTTAATCTGTTCAAATTGCTAACATTGGTTTCACCTTCTCTAAGTGGATTAGCTTGACATAAGTAATGTGTCTTCAAAGTTGTTGTTGCTGCCACTAATGAAAGAGACGATTAAGAACTCCACTTTCAAGAAGTGCCATCAGATAATGAATGTGTCTTTTTCTTGGCTCTACAAATGGCCTTGGGAAGGATTTCTCTCTTGCAGTCAGTAATATCTTATTAAAATGGGAACTGAAGAATAATGGTATGTTTTTGAGGAGGATAAAGAAGAAAAACTTGTTTACATACAGAACATTAAGTTCATAAAGACCACGCTTCCACAAACAAAGTAAGGAATTTTAAAAGATTATAAAGAATCACAGGAAGGGCTGGAAATATTTCTCAGTGGTTAAGGACACTGAATGCTTACACAGAGAACCTAAATTCAGTTCAGAGCACCCACATCAGATAGCTCAAAACCACCTATAGCTCCAGTTCCAGTGAATATGATGCCGTCTCCTGAAATTGCATATATGTGCGTATGAGAAGATAGAGACACATAAGTATAGACAAAAAGATTAATTGAACCTTAAGAACAAATAGCTGCAGAAGCCTGGAATGTTGTAAAAGAGATCACTTGTTTTCCCTTGACTCTACTGTGTTAAACCAGTACTTGAAGTGAGTTTAAGAACCTGATTCTGTAATATGCACTATTTGATAAGAAAAGCCTTTCATCTTAAATGGGAACAATTTGCTTCTTCTTTTGACTTCTAGTTCATTCAAAATGGTAGAGGCAATTAACATTTTATTT